TTCATTTCTCACTATAGAGATATGAAATTTATCGTACAAATGAGAATAGAAATAGTCAATTATAAAAGATGATAATAATAATAATAATATAAATAGTTGCTATACAATTTTTGACAATGATTACTCATTTGAATATATAGAATATAATCATAAGAGAATGAATAATAAAGAGATTATTTAATTAAAAGTATTATGTTGACAGAAGGTGAATTTAATATTTATGTGTAATTTCAAAGTTTATAGAAGATAATGTTATACATTTTAAAGAGAGGAATCTTAAATTCATTAAGATCTAGAATGTATATATCTAGTTATTGATCTTCACTGATTGAAGTGTTAAGATGTGGAGAAGTGATAGAATGATTCAAGTTATGAAATGAAAAGTTTAATGATGAGTTTATATTCACTAGAAGTGATCCAATCTACTAAATATGAGATTTTGGACAATTGATAAGATTAAGAGTATTTTTTTGAATGATTATTGAACAACGTTACTCTTTTATAAACTATATATATATATATATAATTTCAGGGGAGATATAGAAATATCAATACAAAGTATATTGATCAGTACCAGTGGTTACGGTTTATGTTATAATTATTTATTTATTTAAACACATAGATATTGGTACAAGGAGGCGCCAAGTAGATATGCGCCACATAAATCATCCGGTTTGTGTGAGGGCTGTGATACTGACCGGGTGCCCAAACCGAAGCAGGTAGTTTTCTTAGGGGGCCACACCCCGAACCTTTGACCTAAAGGTCTGATCCACAAGACAGTGGAGCATCGTGAGGAGATGCGGTCACATGGAAGCCGGTGACCAACAATTGGTTCATGCGCCATTTGTTCCCGCAGGATACTGGAGCCCATGTGCAGCATTGGTTTGGAATCCGGTTAAAGCGCCGAACATTCGCTTTTCGTCATCTCAATTTCGTAAACAACAGCAATCCCGTGAGAAGTCAGTGAGTAGGACTTCCCTGGTAGAGGCTGTATACGCGTGGCCGTGTGACAGCATTTCGAGAGGGAGGGCTGACCCTATTTTTCTAGATATTATTACTCGTATTTCGTTGTGAGTAATAATGAACAGTTGATTTATTGTGTTTCATTTTAATATTCTTAATCTCAAACTTTTGTCTGACTTACAAACTGTCACTGTATTTTATTCTGTACCCAACTGATTGTGACTTAATCATAAAGTTGATACATTCATTTTAGGCTGACAACGCCCTGTTTCGCTATATATTCTATTTTCTTATTGATCGTGAGTGTTGTGGTCATATTTTTTGATAGTGTAACTTTTTAGGCTAAAAGACAATTTAGAAAAGGAAGTCGTCTTTTTTTGCCTTGCCAACTAGTCAGTGTTCGTGTAACAGATCATTAGTTAGAGATTAGGACAGTTCTACGCCTACAAGGCCAATTAGTCACAAATCAAACTAACATATTCGCAGTCTCAAGTTTATACTACATAGCCAAGTACATTGAACTGGATAACTAGTTCTGAGACAAATATCATTACATGTCCAACCATAGGATCAGTGGGCAAACCAAGGTCATAACACTTTAAAAAAGAAAATTCCTATATTTTATATCATTCAAAAAGGGATTCAATAGCAGAGGAATTTTCATGAATGAAAATAAGAATTTTAAAAGTTTGAAAAATAATTTAGAACAACGAATCAAACGAATACTACGAGCTAAGATGGCGGCTGGAGGTAGTCAACAGGAAACTCTGGACCTAGGTTTCGTACTACTTGGTACTCGTCAGTAAGGTGTATTCTAACCTTGAGAGAACTGATGCTCCCTAACGGATTCGATTCTGTGTCACCTAACTTCATAGTCAGAGATGTTACCACTGAGCTATCCAGGCCGCGACTGACATCCTGTAGGGTCGAATCATATCGACCACGTTGCAATGTGGTCACCAGTCTAGGTGACTCGACATTGAGTGCGCTATATTGAGATAAGATGATGACAGGGTTTCCTGTTGACTAACTCCAACCACTATCTTATCTCAACATAGTGCACTGAATGTCGAGTCACTTAGACTGGTGGCCACATTGCAACTTGATCGATAGGATTTGATCTGCACTAAGAAGTGCATTACAATGATCACCACCCAGTGATCAATCAATTGTAGAATACTACAAGTTATTTAACAAAACAAAACAATTGTGGGCGACGTCGAAAATAAATAGAGAGTAAATAATATCTACATGATACAAAAAACTTTGAATAATCTTAATTGTTGATTCTATTGATATTATGTCATTTAAAAAACACTCAAAGTAGTTACAAAACTTCTTATTTCTAATTCAGATAGAATAAGATCAAATAAGTCTTTCTTAAACACCTGGTAATTTAAGTGAATATATGCATCAACATAAACTGCTTTTACTGCTATTATTAAACATCCATTGAAAACCTTGAAGCACTGGACAGCTATTTCATAATAGTAATGAATTCCTCAAAGTTGCGCACTTAAGAACTCGCACACGAGAATCAAAGCCGAGATCTTCACTCTCGCGCGCGAACTCTTAATCTGTAGACCCCTGAGTCGTCATCCAACGGTGTTAATATCTAACTTCAACCAATCCATGATATTGATCAACCATTGTCTTTAGTAGATATCTTCCTCACAAATGACGGGGTTGAACTCCACTTGTCGTGCATTCTCACTAGAACAGCAGAATTACCTGTTAAAATTAGTCACTTATGAGCGCATGATAATTATCTGTATAGGGGTTTGTGAAGAACAATGAATGTTATTGTTATCACTAACCGATCAATATTAGACATCTACTGAAAGCCGTTCGATATTAAGCTCAATGATCTAGATGCCGATTGATCTCATGAAGAATCAAAGGTCTTAAGGCTCGACCTCCTGTGGTGAGTTCGTGAGTGAGCATTACTGATTAGTCCTATGCTAGGATGAAAAAGCTACCCAGTGATTTCTCGTTCTTAATGGATCAGTTCGCGATATGAAAAATATCCAATAATCTCCACAAATCTCTATACTGCGAAACTAATTTCTCTCATTTACTTACAACTATGTAACCTTAAGTAACGTTAGTTAATCAACATTTTATTCACTTACGGGTAACAATACAAAACTTTGTATTTAGTTTCAAGTTTCCTGCTGTTAGTTAGTTATTTCATTAATTTACAGTAAAAAAAAACACAGTATATCAGGATACACTACATTTTTAATCTAATCTCACCTAAGTCAAAATTACATTAAACTGACAAAATCCAAGAATCTATAGCTAGATATTTCATTGTTAATCACTAAATCTGAAAAGACTGTATCACTTTGACAATAGAGTTCAATAAATTCAGTCTCCAATCGACCCTGACAGATCTTTAAGGAAGATTTTGTAAATATTAAATACACAACACATATCAAACATTTTCATGCTTTATGTAAAAAGTGTTTAGAAAACTTTACAAGTTATTATTTCATTAACTTTACAACAATATTTCACTGATATTAATCACTGATCATAGAAAGGATCACCGAACACATGACTTCCTGCTAAGTTATAGATGTAATATTACTAGCCCTTGTGTTATAACTTCTGTTTAAAAAAAACGATGATAGATTACTCATTATGATTGAAGCGTTTTTTTTTATGGATTAGAAATTGAACACACTTCAGTTAAACATTACACACTTCAAGAAAACAAAACAAACAAAGTTCCATTTTCATTTGAGATCCCGGCTAATTTATTTTAAAATTAAAAAGTTAATTTTCAACGAACACAACATTAGAGTACCACATAATAAAATGTAAACAAATTCATTGTTTGTTTGTTTTTACTAAACTATTAAAAGAGAAAACAACAGCTGACTTAAGATCTTCAGCAATTTAAAGTGATTATTATGAGAATAAGTGCCAAGTGATTGTTTTAATGAATAGTTGAATAGAATCTTCTGAAAGTGATCATTAATTTACACACCATTAAGCTATATGATAATATGAAATGAATAAAATTCATATTGAAATATTGAAAAGAACTATTGATATAGTATAGTACAATTGAATTAATATCTAATTAAAATTAACATATTAAACTGTTCTTTATAAAAGATAATATGAGATGCATCAAATTTTCAGTTTAGGGTTGTGGAGATTGTTGAATTTCATTAAAATCATGAACCGGTCAGTGTTAGAATACCATTTAAAACTTCCAATCACTGGATGACCGGTTCTTCCTAGTATAAGACTCCTCAGTAGTCCGCACCCACTATCCTACATGCGGCATTCGAACCCAGAACCTTCAGTCTTGCGCGCAAACTCTTAAGCTCTAAACCATTGAGCCGGCATCCAACGGTGTTAGTATCTAACTTCAACCAATCCACGATGCTCACTAGCTTGGAGAGCTAATTCTCGGAGTTTTTGTGAGAAGCCATGATCAGTGGAGTTCAGCTATGCTGGAAATAAAACCATTATCCACCGTAGGCAATGAATGAAAGTTTCGCAGTATCGTAAATTGATCGAAGTTGGATATCAACACCGTTGTATTGTTATTCAATGGCTTAAAGGTTAAGTATTTACGTGTCCTAGGTTCGATCCCTGACGATGGGATTGTGGATACGCATTGTTGCAGAGTCCCATACTAGGATGAAATGTCCAAAATCAATTAAATGAGTATACCTTCTAAAGGTGTACTGTAAAAATAAAGGTGATATTCTAAAGAATAGGAAAGTAATATGAAAACTGGTAAATCTGAACGAATTGCACAGTTTTTAAATAATCACTTCTGGTTATTAAAATATTTTCAGTACAAGATTATGAAACTCGTTGAATTTCATTGAAATCACGAACCGATCCAAGTTAGACAACCATTGAAAACCTGGAAGTAATGAACGTCTGTTCCATCCCAGTATAGGACTCTTCAGCAGCGCATATTCACAATCCCGCACTCATGGATATTGTTACAAGGTATATAAATGTTCAGTTATTATTTTTAAATATAAAATGATTATTAAGTGACTTACTTTACTTTCATAATCTTTCAACTCCATAAGCTCTGATAAAATTTCAAAATAGAAAACCAACAATGGAACAGGTGGTTTTACTCGACAAGTATCTGGTAAAGGAACGCATATAGCTGATAGATCATTAGTATTCTGTTTACTAGTCATATTGTTAGCATCAGTATCCATCGTTGAAATCTATCAAAAATATAATATAACACAGACTTCAAAATACTGTTAAACAAGTTAATTGAAATTGATTGAATAGAGTTGAATCAGTTAAATTCAGTACAGAAGAATATCCAGGTCTATCGAGAAATAATTAATAGTTACCAACTAGTGACACACAATATTGTAATCCATTTGATAAGTCTACTCTCAAAATAATTTATATTCTACATTATTCTAAATAATTTAAAATTATACATCTGTCCTTCACTTGTAACATTACTTTCTGTATCCATCTGATTATATCAGGAAATCGGCATACAATCAATAATAATTTTCAGAATATATATTATTTGTTTATCTAATTATTTACTGAAATCTGTTTAACACCACTACACCGAAATCTATTAGGTGACTGGATTTTGAATTCTACTCAATTTCAATGATATCCTTGAAGTCATATAGTTAATATAGGTCGACGTCATTCTTATTTATTGACTAGAGAGAAAAGTGAATAACAGACTGCCGAGGGTGAGGAGAGTCAGCTCTTCCTCTCGAAATGATCTCACATTGCCACGCGTATATAGCAACTGTCAGGGAAGTCCTACTCACTGACTTCTCACGGCATTACTATTGTTTGCAAAATTGAGAGGACGAAAAACGAATGCTCGGCACTTTAACCGGGTTGATGGGTATGGAAGATCCACCTAAGGGAATTGGAAAACCGTGGTTCCCAACCAATACTACACATGAGTTCGATGATCCTGAAGGAACAAATGGAGTATGAACGAATTTTTGGTCACAGACTACCATGGGAGTGCATCTCCTGACGTCGCTCCTGTGGGTTGAAGGTTTCGAGTGTGGCCCCCTTAGAAAACCACCTGCTTTAGTCTGAGCACTCGGGTAGTATCACAGCCCACACACAAATCAAGTGACTTGTGTGGGGCATATGTATTCGGTGCCCCTATGTATCAATATTTATATGTTCAGATAAATAAATAAATAACACACAAATAAAGACTTTGATCTAAAATTATAAATATTTCTTTATTTCAATTATTAATGATAGTTTATTGTGACCATTTAAACCGTTCATATTCATAACAAGATAAGAATGATTAATATTGATAACAGTAGTATATTATGAAGTGTTTGTATAACAATGTCAATATAAACACAGTACATTTAATATGTATGCAAAGTGCATAGAACAAATAAATTTATCTGTGCCACATGAGTAGGTTCTGATGTAAGAAAACCTGTACCAGCAAACTATTTACCGAAGAACGAATAGAATATATCCCTGATTTAACATGGTACATATACAGTTTCATTAAAGAAATTAAAATAAAAATCTACATAACCTCCTACTCTAAGATGAGTACAATTTTAATGATAATCAACCGGTTTATATACAATAGATGGAGTATGATTAACAGAGAAATCCACGAAGCGCGTTTCATCCTATTTAGGACCCGTCGGCTGGATGTACGTGCCACATCCTAGAGTTGCTGTTTGCTCTGGGACCTATTGTTTACTTATTTAAACACATAAACAGTGGTACAAGGCGGTACCAAATATATATGCGTCACGCTTCATTATTCGATTTGTGTGAAGGCTGGAGCCCAAACCGAGGCTCTGGGACTCAAGCCCAGTCGGGTTGATGAGTCCCAAATATGTCAAGACGCGATTCATAGACTTCACTGCTAGCCATAATCCATGTAGCCTATGTCTATGGCTATACCGAAGCAGTTTGCACAAGATGCACATATCCCAACGACAACAGATCGAATTTCAGTCAAAACATTAACAACTAGACAATTCAAACTACAATAAAATAAATTAACTTGTCTAGTTTTCCTTAACATCCCTTCAATGTACATAATGTACACATTTCAAACAATTTGCATTTAGTGTCATAAATTATGCTCTACTTCATTGGCGGAAGATGTCTTGTGCAAATAGTATATCCAATGTTCACATTATCTAATCTATATCATTCTCCAAAGCCACAACTACTACAATCATCATCAAAAATACAGGTATTTATACACAATCATCTATGCAAGATACTTTAGGTCCGTTGGCCGAATAGCATAAGCAATAACCGACTGTGGGGAAGAAAAACCCAGCTTCCAGCTGAAAAGGAAATTAGGGAAACACGCTGGAGATAGGCAGGACATACATTGTGGAAATAACCGAACTGCATCACGAGGTAAACCCTAACTTGGAATCCTCAAAGTAAAATGCAAAAATGAGGACCAAATAACACAATGAACTGGAAATTGGAGAAAGACCTAAAGGGAGTGAACAGCACTTGAGAAAAACTAGCAAGAAGAGTCCAGAACAGCGTTGGTTGACGAATCTTGGTCTACAGTTTTCGATTCACAAACGGTAAAACAGTAAGTGAACTCATAAGTTCTCCAAAGACTCCAATAAGGTGATTGAAATGTGGGGCATAGTATTTCCCGAATTTCTGTACAGTAGTCAAAAACGGGCAAACTGTGGAACAACTGGTCAAAAGGAGGGAATCGGAAACTCAGTGAGCCCTCATTACTTTTTAATTTTCGTGTTTCGAAAAGAATAGGTAGTGTTCATACTATGGCAAAAGCTAATTCTAAATCTTTACACAAATATGTATCTATTAATATTAACAATCAAGTTATCTCATAGCGGTTGGTTTTACTGGATCTTAATACTACCTTAATTACTCATAAAACTAAATTCGAGAAGGCAGATCTGTATTTTAAAAAGGAAAGGAGAAACATTGGCACAATCCGAAATCCGTTCAATGATAAGTGCATGTGATTGGCCAAGAAATAGCTTTCATTTCCAAGGGATGAGACGTACGCCATTGATGGTTTAATATTCTAAGGACATATACGCTGACTCGCTTTAGTCAATAAAATTCCTTTGTCATTCTCAGTCTTTTAACTTGAGTAGCTAGTTTCGCTGGTGTATCGGAAGATTGTGTATCAATATCAACTTTTGCCAACATAGCATTCACCAATATCGAAATTTATAAACCGTTTGATTACACAGAAAGACCATAATTCATAGACGAACCAATCAGATATAAGATAACGAGCCTCGAATTTCGGTGCGAAATTCATTCATCCAGTTGGCTAAATAGCGTTTTGGCATTACAGTTGATGTCAGTTCGTGATGAAAACTTTAAATCTAATTCTTAACCCTAACCATCAACTGTAAATCATAATTCTAATTCCTCACACTGGTTTATAACACTCATTTAGTCGTAGTTAGTAGGTGGACATTCTCTCGGTCATTTTAGCATCGCTCAAATGTCGTCCATAAATTATAGTCTCATTCCAGTAAGTTGCACATTAAAGTCCCCCTTCATTTACATCATTTAAAGCAACCAATTATCTTTACTTATCTTGAACTAAAAGCGTAGGTCAAAAAATAAAACTGATGTAGTACTTTTATATTCTGTACCCTCTTTTAAATAAAGATGAAACGTTTCCTTGAAATGGCAAAAATTTATATGAATATTGTTCATAGAACTATTGTGCTTTGTATGTTTTTAGTGGGTCCAGTGCACAATAAACCAAGAGATACTTCTAATATGACATTGAATCTAAACAGGTAATACTATCATATGAATGGCATTCTTGAAATATTGAAATATATTGTGAAAAGATCTTGGTTACATGATGAAATTATCCTAACAACTATATAGTACTGTTTGTTTAGTAAAAACCATATTGAAATACAATTCTTACGAATATAAAAGAGGTTTAATTTTGTTAGTGAAATAATTTGACTTACTGAACAGAATATAATAAACGACATTGTGAATGAAACATGTCCTTTTTAAACAAACTACATATAGGTCGTTGAAAAAAGGAATCAAATTGTTGTACTGATAAATATGAATAACTGGAAGCACTGGACGGCCGTTTCGTCCCCGTATGGGACTCCTCAGCGGCGCGCATCCACGATCCCGCATCGCGTGGGATTCGAACCCAGGACCTACTGGCTTCGCGCTCGTGCACTTAACCACTAGACCACAGAGCCGGTATCCAACGGTGTTAATGTCTAACTTCAACCAATCCAAAAAGTTGCGCCACCGTACACCATTGCCTTTAGTGAGCTGATATCTCACAACAGACCTGGTTGAACTCCACTGGTAACGGCTTCTCACTAGAACTCCAAGAAATGCCTCTTGAAGTCAGTCACTAGTGAGCAGTTGATTATTATCAGAATGGGTTTTGTGGAGATTTTTAGAAATTTCACAGATTGAAATCATGAGTCAATTGAAGCTAGACCACTATGAAAAACCTGGAAGTGCGGGATCGTGGATGTGCACTGCTGAGGGGTCCCATACTAAGACGAAACGGCCGTCCAGTGATTCTAGGTTTTCCATGGTGGTCTAGCTTCAATTGACTCATGATTTCAACTTGTGAAATTTCTAAAAGTCTCCGCAAAACCCATTCTGAATATGAATAAGTGAAGTTTGTTACAGGTGTTTATTATATTGACATGGCTCAGAATCGACCACAGCGGCGTCGATGTATACACTCTTTGTCTTCCTTTAAACTATGAGATTAAAATTATTTAATTTCTTTCTTTTTACGAACTAATTCTTTCCTTCTGTACTATATCCTTACATAAAATCTTTCCTTTACATATTACACCACTGAGTTAACTGCTTCTGTGAGTCCGGTGCTTGTCTTGCTGTGCTAATGAGGTGTGGCAACTTCGATCGATGCATATATCTGCCTGGTCCTACGTTGTAACTGACTGGCTGACTGACTGGATTATATTGGAAGTGATCATATTAAAATGATGTATAGTTGTAACAGTATCAAAAATCATTACATGTGACGTTACTGACGCGAGTCTGTTTTTCTTATTGCAAGGCAGCAAAGAGTAAACGCACTGGATGAAGAGGAACAAGCCCTAAGTAAGCTGAAACTGCAGAACGATGGATAAAACCATTTTTAATAAGCTATCCCTTTTTGTACTCGAACCGCGTCTTTCAATTTTCAAAATCTATTTGTTGTGCTAGTACGCCGTGTTCTTACTTCAGAAGCATTTACCGGTCCTGACTGTTGTGTTGTTGTTTCAGATCGCTCCTGCTTCCAAGTAAACGCTAATATTACGTACTACATAGTCACAAATTTTATTTTGTGCTAAAATAATCTTATTTATTTAAACTAAATATTAAGCTTAAGAAAGCCGCACTTTATGGACGAACGACCTTGAAATCTTTCTTCACTAGACCAATCACGAAGCAGAGAAGATAAATTTATGGTTTATTATGCTAAGACTTAAGATAAATGATGAATTTTCTGATCTTTGTATCATAGCTGATATCAGTTCACGATGACGACTTTAACCTTAACTTTTATTACTAAATTCCAACTCTAATTTCAAACCTTGCTTTGATACATACTCGGTGACCAAGATGCAGTTTCCACATTCACCATTGACTTGGTTGTATAGTACAACATCACTGTTAAACTTTATACTATTGAGTCAAAACAAACATATAGGGACAAATAGAGTTGTAACTTACCATTGAATACATCTAAATTTTAATAGTCGAGTGAAGAATTCAAAAACTTGTGCACCTATTAAGTTTTGAACAGATAAGTTTCATGCCAACCCTTTGACTAATGGTTCTATGTCATTGCATAGTGTATAAACCTATTTACAACTGTGTAATTCTTTAATTTTCATTACATAGTGATAAGCATACCCACCAAGTGGCTTATATTGCTTAGCCTGGACCACGGTTTGATAAAAAACAAACCTGTTATTTATGAACTTTTAATTCAATTGACGTAATGAAAAATCAATTATCTCATATGTTAGAAACAATTTTTAAAGCTACAGAATTCATTAACATTGCTGACAAATTTTCCGACTATAATTAAGATATCCACAGAAAGATACACTATTACATGTGATTAATGCTGTGTGTATTTATTAAATTCAACACAATATATAACCTTGTGCATAATAATCGATTTCTGATATCATTAATAACTTTAGTTTATTAATTTTTCTAACCGAATCTCTTGATACTGACATCCTCATAACCTATACCCAATAAGTTTATCAGGATGTGTCTACATATATCAATGAGGACGGGAAGTAGAAATTGAACAACTTAAATTGTATGAAACAATAGCCATAGTATGGGGCTTGTGGAAATGGTTGAATGATATTGGATTCACAAAGCAATCTATGTTAAACAACCATTGAAAATCTGGAAGCACTGAACAGCTATTTTATCCTAGTATAGGACTCATCAGTAGTGTTCGTTATTGTTAGGTCCCGATAAATATAATGAATGGTAACTTTGGAGTCCTTTTATGGACCAATACTAAACGTATATTTTAATCCTATAATTGTTAAATAACTAAACTATTCATATTCATGTTCCCTTTATTATAAGCTTTATTTTGACCTATGAACCATTATTACACGTTTTACCATTCTTGAATTATGCCCTGTCTATTAATCACTACCTCCCTCATTCACAGCCACATTTGGCCAAATTTTGTACAAATGTTATTTTCTATTTTATGCTACTTTGTGGTCTGTTTGATTAGTATATAAACTCAGTATGTTTGAAATATAATGATTCATATTGCAGAGGCTGGAACTGGTGTTCTGAACTTAACTGGTTGAGCTAGGTGGAAAGCAGGACTAATCAGAACTCTAGGCTGCTCGCACGAGTTTTACGCGTCATTAGTTCGATCGATAATTCGCTGCTTCTGATTGGCGGCTTTGAGCTATAACAGTTATGAACAAAAGTTTCGTTCTCGATCCTTGACAGAGAGAGAACCGGATATTAAAACAAAACACTTTCCCAGTGCTGCCAGATTCTCAATGTGTTTTTCTAATTTCAATCGACTCAAGATTTCAAAAATCGTGACAATTATTATTTTGTTATTAATATACATTACTGAAGTCATTCAAACAACATACCATATTTATTTGCTCTTTATGCTGTGTTGTTGGCAATCGGGATGATGGTAACATGAATTCATGATCACAAATATCTTCTTCATCTTCTTCATCATTATGTAATTCAGTTAAATCTTGTAAGATACATTTGCATAATTCATGAATATCATAATTACATAATGACTCATTATAATAATTATTATTACTATCTAAATTTAAAATGATTTGTGATAATAAATTTAATTCTCCAAGTAGTTTATTTAATAAATTTGTTCGATTTTCATATTCTTCAGTTGGATTTGAAAATATAGAATAAGTTGTGAATGTTTTTGACATTGTTTGTTGTTTAACATCAATTAATAATGATTGACTATTGAATTGATCTGTTTCACTTATACTGATTGCTAAATCTGAATTCGTTGTATACAATGCTGATTGATCTGAACCACTTTGATTATGATTTACATTTGATATACTTTGAGATTTTTGACATTTAGTTAAATAAAAAGGAGAAATAGTTTGTTTTGAGCATACAACTTCCAATTCTTCAAGCTGTAATAAATTGAATGAATTCAATTATAATGAGTAAAAATGAACAAGATAAATATTATTTATGATAGATATAAAATGCAAATGTTTTGAATATATTAAAATTATGGAAAAAAAAACAAACAAACAAGCTTGGATTGTATAAGTTAGCAACAAAACATGGAGAATTGATTAAACGTGGGCAGGTGAATTTCACGTGGACTGTGTCCAATCACAGATAAAAAGTCAATGGCCTTGGCCACAATGTGACTAGCTATGAAATTGATAAATTAGAAAACAGTTTTCATCCGGTTTTGGATTGAAACTGGTGTGTGTCAATATTACATTGAAACTATAGTTAGTTTGCTAGTCTAAATATTCAGACAGCCAATTGGTCTATATATCGACATGATAGGACAAATGGGAGATTTATACTATTTCCCAAAAACATACATGAATCTGATTGGACAGTTTCGATGGGCGTTGGGAAGACAGGTGAAGTCCCATCGACCAACAGAGTAGAAAAATGGATGGAAAATGTTACAAATGAATGTATTTTTATAGCTCGGATTTTTCGAAGTAAGCTATTGGATAAGAAACTTCTCAAATCGACCTGTGACTGAGTTTATGAGTCACAAGGCGGAATTATGGAAAGTTGCCCGACGCATCACACAGTACTATTAACTAGGTATCGATTGCAAATGAAAACCAACTACTTACAGAGGAATCCTAGAATGAAACAAATTCACAAAGTTCAGTGGACTACATTAACTGTCTGAAAACATGTAGTTTATGATAAAAACAATCTGTGAATTTAAAATAACTAAACCATTTCATACTGAAACTAGCAGGCGACTAAAGTTTACTATGTAAACAGGTTAGCATTAACATAGTAATCATGTCAAGAGGAGATAGGGTTAAGGTACTGATATGTCTGTGAAAATTTAGGGTCTGTGATGCCTGACCGCAAAACAAGAGCAGTAGTATCTATTAGTTCGCCTAGACTGTTTATCCAGTATCAAGGTACCTTAAATGTGAGTTAAGAGCCGTGAGTAACAATCAGTGACTATTGGTTCAGAAAACAGTTCAGCAACCAGACAACTAGTCATACAGTTCGAATTTATCATTCACTCATAAAACAATGTATACCAAAATTCTGACCACGCATCAATAGAATTAGTGGATTACAATATTTGCATAATTACTCTATAAGTGTAAGAGGACTGGGGGAAGGGTTCGTGATAAATTAACAATGATTTGAGAAAGATAAAACAAACGACGATTATTTCTGTATCAACCAAAATCTTAAAAGTAGGGGAATACAAGAGCATAATAGTCAAAGCATTTAGTAATTATACAACAAGGGTAAAAACAATATCTTCACAAGTGACTGTTCCGAAATTTCAACTTAGCTTTGTATTTACACCAGCATTGTCTGTACTCTATATTGTTAAACCAATCAGGTTTAAGATGGTAGTTTTGAGTTTTCGTTGTGAATTTCAGAAAGCTCTGTCACTTGGCAGTCATATAAGGAATAACTCTGTAGAGGATACTTTATGAAAGAGCTTAGGAACTTTTGGAATAAACAGGGAAAGTTTGTTTTGTCAATAATGACAGTTTAAATGCAAGAACACACAGACTGCCTTTTTTTCTGTTGGTCAATGTGTTATCGATGTAGATCAATAAACAGTACTTGTTCCTAATTTGGTCGATCTTGTATCTCAAGTACAACTCTGTATTAGAAGGGTAGTACATCTGAACTATGTTTATAGTACTGATCAATTAATGAATTTGCAAAAGCAACCTGGAAACAATAAAATATCATTTATTAAACTGTTTAACATCTTCACAGAGGAACCACTTTGTACTTACTAGTGACTTTCCACGATGAAAGCGAATATATTTTAAATGTGTGTGTGTGTATTTAATTTTTAAAATGTGTCAACGGTCAAATGACTAACAATGTAACTAGACGCTCAAGATACAAAAAAGTTATGATGAATATGTATAAAATACTGGATGTATTAGATACAAGCCAATTTTTGATGTAACAAGTTAGTAGATTGTAAATGAAGCTGAAATCTCAAATTTATGGAATGTGATACTTAATTAGTAATTTTATTGACAAAATGCCATAAAATAAACAGTAAAAAATTTTTTCTTCTGAATTTTGGTTTATAAAATATTGAAAACTGAGTCATTACTAACATTATAAGCAAAGATGGATAGTGGCTAGCGGTGGAATCCAGGACGTTCGTTTCCTCCTGTTTGGGACTCGTCAGCTGGATGTACCTGCATCCCACTCTGGGACTCGAACTCAGTACCGTTCGTCATTACTATTACTTTAACATAATTATTCGGTTATTTTGGATAGTTAAATTGTTTATGATTTGTCTAGAATAAAATAAGATCTAAATTAACTGGTTATAGTATTAGTGTAGATATTTAACAGTAAATGACCTTTAGTTTCATCAGGGTTAGATAAGATAACATCTGAAAATGTAATTAGTAAGTTCCAATATGAATTCTCTCCAATACAAGGAAATGACTGGTAAAAATTAATTCGGACTCCAAAACAGGGATCGTATATATACTGTTGAAGAGTCCCATACAAGAAAGAAATAGAAGTTCAACACTTCCAAGTTTCTAATAATTGTCTAACTTAGATCAATTCGTCATTTCAATGAAATCTAACAATCTCCATATTGATTATTTGAATCTGTTATAGATCATTCCTAATTAACAATGGATAGATGGCTCGCATAAACTCAAGCTAACAAATGAATATATATGGGACTTTTATCAGTCAATAACAAATAATATTTATAATAAGCAGTACATCAGAAAAATTCCTACATAGACACTGTATTTCACCCTTAAAGTTGGATTTTCATTTCAGGCTTATCAGAAAATGATAACAAAGAATTTATTGACCTACATTCTACCCATCAATCAATATATTTGGTACAAGTCATTTTTATTTTAAAAAAACTTTCTGGCATGGATATTATTATTATTAAATTGTTATAATGTTCCATTTTTTAATTGATCGAATAAAAAATAGATCTTAAAGCCAAGACAAAAATAAATGTGAAACTAATGTGAATAAAGTGAGTTTGTTTGATTGGTAGAATTTTTATCAAGATAAAATTTTTACACAATGTACATTTTCTATTACATAGGTAGGTCATTTCATTCAGTTTACTATTCAGTTAGTTAGACATTGTCAACAAAGGATCTAGTAATGAAAATGTAATAATTCAAATTTTAGGCAAATACAATCACAGAGAGAGGAGATGTGAATTAATGAAGAGGAGTTAGATGGTGGCTGGGGGTAGTCAATAGGAAACCCTGAACCTAGGTTTCGTGCTACTCGGTACTCGTCAGCAAGGTGTACCTGTAATCTTAAAGGAACTGGTGTTCCCTGACAAATTCGGTCCCGTGTCACCCAGCTTCACAGTCAGAGATGTTACCACTGAGCTATCCGAGCCGCAACCGACCTCCTTTAGGACTGAGACTAGTGGCCACATTGTAACTTGGTCGATAGCATTCAATCTGCACTAAGAAGGACTTGACACACATGACACTGATCACCACCCAGTGACCAACCAATTGTAAAGAGGAGTTAATTTAAACTGTAATGGAAATTTGAATATTGTTAGATATAGTTCGAAATGAACAGATGAGATTGAAGAATGAGATTTTAATTAAGGTTGAAAAATAATTAATAAATGTGATTGATTCATTCTGTGATAGGGAGCAGATTTAATGAATTTCATTCATGTCTTGATCTTCTGGGCCATAGATTTTTCACAAACTACTTATAAATCACTCAGAATTAGACTTCGGTGAAGGTGTTATTATTTTATCTCTTAGAGTTAATTAGAGACCCACATTTTTAAAATAACAGTACTGAATGTAGTGTGTTTTAATAGCATATTCCGAATTTATAATTGTATTCTACGGTCATTAAATTTTTCCCTAGATTAAAGATCACTACCCACTAACAAATAATATTAACCTAATCTTCAACCAAGTAGTTGAGACTGAGTAATTTAGCAGTAAGTTATGTAACGTTTATTATGAACAACACGAAATCAAACCGCATAATGAGTGGAATTTTCCTTGACATATTAATGTTAAACGTGGCAATTTGAATAGATATACATTTATGCCAAGTCCTGTAATGACTGACTGATTCGATGACACAGAAAATAGATTTCCTAACTGGTTATTTCATATTTACTGTGACTTAAATAACACAATTTTAATTTGTTAAACTGTAAACAAATAAATGAACAAATATTCAAATGGTTTTAATTTCTTCACTTTGATATTCATCACCACTGTAAGATGTTTCTTGATATATTTGACAATAAAACCAAGTGAAAAACACTAAGAAATGATCTCTATATCAACATGTAGAAAAAAATTCCTACTCATTTCTAAATTTTACTTCTGCTCTTTTTATTCTTTTCCGAGACCACTGTTATTCAGTAATTTTGTCAGCATTAACACTGAGAGGTGGATAATCAACTAAGTGTTTTCTAAATTCTCTGTGAGACAAGAGGATACTATGCTTGAAAGGAATTAATCTACTTTTTTACTAACCCACGGTGGTATACAACAAAAAACTGTATCTCAAGCCTTGCTTTTTCTTCTTTTTTGAACGATCTTTTATCCCCAATTCACTTGGTATTATTTGGCTTGTATCTTCCCATTGATGTTTAAGACTGCAATTGATCAGTCTGTTATCGGCTAGTAAGAATGATCAATTGCAGTCTTAAACCTCAATGGGAAGATACAAGCCAAATAATACCAAGTGAATTGAAATTCACCCCATTGCACAAGCAAGTGGATATCAGGACTCAGTAGCTAAGTGGATAACGCGATGGCGTTTGAAGCGAATGGTACTGGGCTCGAGTCCCAGAGTGAATATCAACTCTGAGATGCAGGTGCATCCAGCTGACGAGTCCCAAATAGGACGAAACGCGCGTCCTGAATTCCACTGCTAGCCACCATCC